AGAAGAAACAAGCTTAAATAAATTTTGAAAAATTAAAAACTTTTAAAAATTATTTTAGTAGACCCACTAGACGGTTTAAAAGATAAAAATTTATTAAAATTTAAAAAATATACATATTACAAATAAATATATCTAAATTTTTTAAACAATTTTGTTTAATACTGATTATAGTTTTAAGTAATAAATATATTAAAGCATTAATAATATTTATCTTCAAAGTAATTATAAGCATAAAGTAGCAAATATTAACAAATATATATATATATCAGTTATATATCTAAAAGCATCATTATATTTAAGTTACAGAAACAAAAATATTTAATTATAACCAAGTTCATTATATTTATTATAGTTAATTCATTAAGTAAGATTAACGGTATAAATTTACAATTAGTGCTGCGTATAAGTTTTACACTGATAATTTTATAAAAATACATATTCTATTTTTATTGTTATTTTTGTTTTTTTAAATATAATTACCAATTTAATTGAAAAGTTTTCTTTACGCAAATATGCGAAAACAAACGATTATGTTTATATAACCTATATATTTAAAGGTCCGAAATACATTAATTACATATAATATGCGTCGCCATTAAAGGTCAAGTCCAATAAATAATAAACAATAAACTTAAAAGCTTGACACTCATACTAATAATTATTGCTTTATTGTTTAATAAAATGCGGATTTTTATTTGGAGTATTCAATTACAAAAATTGACGGTGACCACACTTTGCATAAACTCAGGAATGTTAACACACTTAATCAATACCCGAACAATAAAAAATAATATAGATAGCCAGCCAACATGTTTCTTGTAAAAGTTAACAAGAGATCTTAATTGTACCAAAAATTACATAAAACGTAAGGGTTTTTGAATTTGTTTCAATTATCTTGGGGAATATACGACAGAAGAGGAAATATACGTCAAGAGGAATAAAAAAAAATAAAAAATTTACGTAGTAAAGAAAAAGAAAATCTTAAAATTCTCCAGTCTTTCTTTAAGATCTAGAATTTTAAATATATTGTTAAAGTAGTTGAATTGAATAAAATAAACAGACCTGATACATAAACTCTTACCAGTGACCAAAAACCTAAATTTGGGATGAGTTTTATACGGAAATTGCTTCTAGAGCATTAATCGCCGCTTTTTTCTTTGCATCCTTCTTATTACTGCTCAAGCCAATACCATAACTTTTACCCTCAATAATAACTTCACATTCGAAACCTGGTCTATTTTCAAATTGTTTTTCAATGTGCTTATATTCAGGTATTTTAAACCCTCTAGATTGAGCCCAATGTTGTAATTTTCCTATAGGATTTTCCAATGAATCAGATTCTATTGGCTTATTCATAGGACCATA